CAAGTACGGGGATTACCAGTGTGTGCCATCGCATCTTGACTTCCTGCCTTGATTGTACATTCTAGAGGAATTTCTGAAGCAGTCCTGGATTCAGCAGAGTGCTGGATAGAACACAGAACTCGGAGTCAGGAGGGGACTTAAGTTCTAGTTTCAGCACGACCTTTGACATTTGCCTTCAGCTCTCCACTGCATAGGGACGGTAGCTGATGGATGTATCCAAGGTCTTCTTCTCACAGTGCTAACTTCTCTCCTCCCCCTCGTTTCCTTCTTCCTTCTCTCCTCCCTCCTTCCTGCCTTTCCCCCTCACCCTCATGGGCTGGGCTCAAACTTGTAATCCTATTGCCTGGGCTTCCTCAGTGAGTTTCATGAATTTTTAAAAATACGGTTAAATTATCATTTGAATCTGCTCACAAGTTCAGAGGAAGATTTGAATAACTCACTTCAAGCAATTGACTAAAAGAGATGGGATCATTGCAGCTTTTTAAATTGATTTTTCAAAAGTCACATTTTATGGAGAAACTGAGCATACGTTGAGTTTGGGGAGTGCTTTTTTGTTCTGTTTTGCATAAGCCTAGACTAGTGTGAACCTGTAATTGTTGAGAAAGATCTCTTGATAGATGATGATGAGCGGCCATGAGGAGACACGCAAGGTTGCATTTCAGAGGAGAAGCTAAAGCATTAGACAGTTTCCCTCCTCTCCATACATTGTTCACTATAGCTGACATATCACTCTGCCAGCTTGTTCCATCTCTCAGTGTGGGGTAGCAAGTTATTTTAAGGCGTGTGACTTTTGTTTATGCTGCATTTGTTTAACTCCATGAAGCTGTGATTCCTTGCCTATCTAAAACACCTGAGGGTCTAATAAAGAGCTAAACTGCCAATAGCAAGGCAGAAGTAAGGCTAGGCAGGGCTGGCAGGCAGAGAGGATACATAGAGGGAGAAATGAGGAAAAGGAGGAGCAAGAGAACCAGGAGAGGACATCGGGGGCAGCCACCCGGTACACAGCCAGATAGAGTACCTGTGAAAGTAAGACTACAGAAGTAAGAAAGGAAAAAGTCCAGAGGCAAGAGGTAGTTGAGTTAATTTAAAAAAATGCCAAGAATCTAGCCAAGCTAAGGCCAGGCATTCATAACTAAAAATAAGCCTCCATGAGTGATTTATTTGGCAGCTGGGTGGTGGGCCTCTCCAAAAGATCCAAAAAGCGAAAAGTACGTCAGTGTACATCTTTGGTTGTTGCTTAAGACAGGGTTTCTCTTTGTAGTCACGGATGCCTGGAATTTTTTTTTTTTTTTGAGACAGTTTTTCTGTATTGCTTTGGAGCCTGTCCTGTGGAACTTGATCTGTAGACCAGGCTGGCCTCACTCAAACTCACAGAGCTCCTCCTGCCTCTGCCTCCCCCCACCCAGTGCTGGAATTAAAGGCATGCGCCACCAACGCCTGGCTGGAACTTGTTCTGTGTATCAGGCTAGCCTTGAACTCAGAGTTTTGCCTGCCTCTGCCTCCAGAGTTCTGGATCAAATGCATTCACCATCACACCCAGCCGCACACCTTTTAATTGTACAATCATGGGGTGACTTATTGGCTTAGACAACAGGAAGCAAACATTTCTGGTCCTGATGTCTCATCTATAGAACAGTAGTGCTCCAAGAACACAGATGAAAATCACTGATTTAGCCTAATCTTTTTTTTTTTTTTTTTTTTTTTTTTTTTTTTTTGATTTAGCCTAATCTTGTTGCAGAGTAAGGAAAAGAAGAAGCAGCTCATTTGGTTAAGGCTCAGCAGGTAATTCTGTTGTTCTAGAAATAGCGAATCTTATCAGTTGCATAATTTCAGATCCATCTATTCACCAATGATTTCCATCTCCAGCTGTCACTTATTGCTTAAGCTTGACTTCTATGCAATGTGTACTTGGTATGTAGTAGTCTTCATTATCAATGGATTCACTTTCTGTGATGTTCTGTGATGAATATATTAAATGGAGAATTCCAAAAATAAATAACTCCTAAGTTTTAAATGCTGCACCTCTCCTAGAAGCGTGATGGTATCTCATGGTGTTCCATCCCACGCCACCTGGGATATGATATAAGTCATCCTTTGTCCATTAAGTCTATGCTGTATATTCTGCCTACCACTAATTACACCATAGCACCTTGGTTACCAGGCAGTTTCCATGGATTTCAGTGCCTGTGTTCAAGTGATTCTTATTTTACTCAATAATGGTTAAAGATATGAGAGTATTAATGATGGAAATTGGATTTATGGAGAGAAGTTATAATGTATTTTCTTTGAGTGAAGGGTGAAAATATACAACGGAGAGAGCACACATTTATATGACCTCCATCATAGCACATTTAAATAATTATTCTAGTTCTGTTTTGATTTTGAGACCAGATCTCATGTAGTCCAGGCAGCTAGAAACTGGCTGTGTAGGCAAGGAACACCTTTAGTTTTTCCTGCCTCCACCTTCCAAATACTGAGATCACAGATGTGCATTATCACCCTGGGTTTTATGTGGTCCTGGGGACTCAACCCAGGGCCTCAAGTGTGCTAGGCAGGTACGTGTTCTACTAGTTGAGATACATCTTCAACCCTGTTGCATTTGGTTAACAGTTGTTCTTGCTCATCATTAACAATAGCTAGTTTATAAACTAAACTTTAGCATGGACATGTACGTATGTATGTATGTATGTATGTATGTATGTATGTGAAAGTTTTATGCTCTCTGCTGTTCAGACGTCGACTGTGATCTCAGCACTTAGGCTGTTAGAGAACAAAGGATTCAGATCCCTTAAGTTCAAAAGTGAAGCAAACCCTTCTCCCAACAGATTGGTTTTTCTTGTAGCTACCCTTTCCTTAGACGATGAAATCTCCTTCGGCTTGGGTGGCAGGGGGTGGGGTGTGTGTGAATCTTCTGTGATTCCTTTATTTTCCAAAATATCCTACACCTGACCTGTCAGGAAATCCTGTTGGTTCTACTGGGGGGAAAAAATCCAGAAACCAGAAACCTCTGCTACCACCTTGCTAGCCCCATTTACCAGGACCACCATAAGGGCCTCTTGACCAATCTCCAGCTTCTGTTCTTGCTTCACAATTTCTTTTAAACACAGCGTGCAAATGCTCACAAGTCAAATCTTGTCATTCTGTTCCTATAGGTGAAGTCTGTGGATGCTCAGGTCCCAATGACGACTCTCTTCCAGCCACACTGTCCTTCCAGCTTTTCTTCAAACACCACCCCCACAGCACCCCGCTTGGTGCTATTGCTTCAGCTTTTAGCATTGCAGGAATACTCTTCCTACAGACCCCAGATGGGTTGCTCCTTTACTGTCTGTGCTTGTCTCATCTTTTCAATGGTCTTCCTATTTCAAAGTCCCGTTCATAAACTGTCCTCCACTCCTTTCCGCAGACAAGCACTTACGATCTGAATCTTTCAAAAGATTTATTAAATTTATCATTTTCTCTCGTTGCTTCTAATTCACGATCCATTTCAGGATGCAAGAAGTTTGTGTTTATGGATCATTGATCAGTACCAGGGCCATAGGCGTTAGATATTAATACTAAAATCAGTGACCTGAGGCTTGAGGGTGTGGCTCAGTTGGTAGAATGCTTGCCTAGCATGATCAAAGGCCTAGGTTTGAGTCCCAGTACTGCATAAATTGGGTGGGGGCAGAGATGCACCCACAATCTCATGCCTCAGGAGGCAGGACCAGGAGGGTCAGAATCCTCAAGGACATCCTTCCATCCCAGCCTGAGAGACATGAAGCCATGTCTCAAACACAAAACCTCCCCACAAAACCCATCAAAAATGATGACTCATAAACTGTCAGCTTTTAGTCCAGTATTTTTCTCATGATCAGGATTCTGCTTAGTGACATGAAAAATCCAATTTTAGGAAAGTTAGAGCCTAACAGATAGTTTATTAGAACTGTAGATGGAGCTAAAACAAAGTTGGAGGGAACAAGATAGAATTGAAGGAAAGAAGAGATTAGATGGAAATCAAAAAGACAGATACTAGTGATTTCCATATCTATATATCTATATCTTGTCTCAGAAAAATAACTATTTTTGTGGGGCTGGGAATGGTGGCACATGTCTATAATCCTATCATTTGGGATGCTGAAATAGAAGGATTTTAAACTCCTGACCGGCCTGGGCTATAATGAGTTCCTGAAAAGGTAAATCTATTTTCATGGTTAGTTTTCTGAATTTAGAGTATTTTTTTTAATTAACCCATATTAACTTTGGCTATGTTATCATAGCAGTCCCATGGAATAAGCATCTGCACACTTTCCTTCAGTGGGCAGGTGGGCAGATATCCTGTACTAGATAGAGCTTATGAGACCCCATAAGCTCTGCTTCTGAGAAACCCAACATGTGGTGGGAGAACCAGATAGACAGCTGTATGACAGTGTGACACACACTAAATTAGAGGTGTCACTGATACCATTTGAACAGAGAAATTTGCAACCAACAAAGTACATTGAATTTGCAGAAAGGGAAAAATTGGAAAGCTTATGAGATTTGAGATGCCCTGTAAGAAAATAGGATTTCACATGAGACAGAAACTGGTGCCTAGGGTATGTTTGGGACTCGCTGAGTAGAGCATGGGAGTTGGGTGGGGTAAGACTTGATTGTGCCCCTGGGGGCCAGGTTTGTAGGTTTCTAGTTTAGGCTTGTTCTGAAGCACCTGGAAATGATCAGCAACTGTAATGCTCTGGAGAAATGAGCTATAGTCTGTGTTTAGGTGATGTCATGATGGTGGAGACATGGTAGGTTTGGTGGGAGCCATTGGAATATCTTAGGCCAGATACCCGAGGCTCAGAACCAGAGTTGTGGATGTGAGGACACAGATGAGGGATCGAGAATGCTGGTCAGCCCTGTGGTTGGATTGAGAAGCACTGGTGACAGACTAATCACACTGGTCAAGGGGAATATGCAGCTGAGATGGTCTCATGGCTTTGTGCCATGACTGGGGGAATAAACACACCAGAAAAGGACTGGTATAGACTAGAGGAGGAAATGGCCTTTATTTTCAAGTGAGATTCATTCCATAACCAACCGGGGAGAGGATGGCCATGATGTAGGTTCTGGCTTCCAGTGGAAGCCACCTCCAGAAGCCATGTCATCTTTATCCATCTTAGAAATAAAGCTCTGTTTTGCTGCATGGCCAATCAAGGCTCTACAGGGCATCATCATCTAGGCACAGCTTCTTCTTGCATCAGGAGCAGTGACTATGGACCAGGCACATCACTTAGGGCTCCTGAAGGTACCAGAATCAACACCTAGGACATCCCATTTGTCCTCTGGAGCAGATTTTTCAGCCACACTCAATGTTCCAATAAGTTTTGGACTTGGAGGCATCTAGAAAATTTTCATTTTGTTTTAGTGGCATGGTCGTACATGTGCGCATGCATGCACGTGCGTGCATGTATGCATGTGTGTGTGTGTGTGTGTGTGTGTATCCTTGTATCTCCTCAGCTTTAGATTCCACATCTCTTAACCCTGGAGCTCCGGGAGGTGCTTGGTGGAGTGCTCTCACCTCTGAGGTGCGGTTTCTGAATTTCTTCTCTTGTCAGGTTATTTATCGGCTACAAAGTGCCTTCCAGGAGCTGCTGTGAGGAGCTTTCTGGAAAGATTGGCTTTTAGTTTCATCGAAAGGGGCATGAATGAACACAAAGAGGTTTTTAATTTTCAGTTCTGCTACTCAGTGTGTTTTAACATACATGTGAGATCCAATCTTGTGAGGCGGGGCATGGAAGACTCTTCCAGGTATCTCTCCAGTCTGTCACTTTGCCTTTCTTTGAGAGAAGGCAGGAACCAACGAGCACTGTTGTGGGGGACGTCAATCCGTTGTCCATTAGCTAGTGTTAGTGGCTTCTTTTTCTTGCTTGTACGATACCTCCTGGGCTTTGCTTGAAATCTGTTTTCCTTTAGACATTTCCAATGCAGCCTTATTCCATCCTGATCAAGCCAAACCTGGGAGTCCTTCAACAATAGAGTTCTTTGGGCTAATCTCGGTGCCCATGGCAGCCCCACAACTTTGACCTAACTCATTCCCGATTATACTGGGAACTGGTTTTCTTTTACAGCAACACTGAAAGAAAGACCAACCAAGTTAAGAATTAAGGGTAGATACAGAAGCATGAGTTGCTTGAAGTGAGAGAGAGGTTCCTAAAATATAGTTATCAACCCAAACTCATTTCCTTCCAAGCTGGGGATAACAGTCAAAGAACATTCTGGAAACTGCTTCAGAAAGCACCCTGCTGAGCTCGGTGAGCTCACTAACCAAAATGCCCTTAGTACCTTGGTGATTGTTTGTGCCCATACACTCCGTGGACCAGTCCTGGGGGATCACGGGATCCAGTAGCTCTGCAAACTCCTCCAGAGGGCAGCTGTGGGTGCAACCGGGCAGTGTGAGTGGGTAGGGCTCATGCTGGGTCTCATTCCGATAGTACATCTCCACAAAGTGTTTCCTGGTGGGACAGAGGACAGAGCTGTTAGTTCTGCAATGTGAAGTTGTGTGAATTTCTTTCCACCCTACTGTAACGTTTTCCTGAGTGTCAGTGGAACTGGGAAAGCTGGTCTGTTAGACAAACTGGGCATGGAGAGTGGGGACCAGCATCCTTCATCAGAGATGATTAGCGGAGATGGGTGTGAGGATCTATTTTTTAAGGCTTTTTATTTTTATATGCATGTATGCCTGTGAGTGTATGTCGTGTGTTTTGTGTGAAGATACAAACTAAAGGCACACAAAAGTGAATAAAGTTGTGGCATAAAATGTGAAAATACAAATACAGTAATTTAATAATAGTAAATTACTTTACATAATCTATGGTTTTAAATTTTTATGGCCAATTAGAGAGAAAATCCTTGAAGAGTGTCAGGCACGGCGCCACATGCCTATAATCCCAGCACGCAGACCTGGACAGGAAGTTGCAAGCTGAAGTCCTGCTTGGGCTACATTGTAAGATCCTCCTTCAAAAACAACAAATCTTTTAAGTACACATGTAGCCAGGCCATCTGCAGTTTCAACAGCCTACATACATTGGTGAGGAATTGAACACATTCTCCCTTTGTGTCCCTATCTTCTCTTCTTTCAGGAGAAAATATGTGATAACTTTGAGTCAGGACTAGGTAATAAACAACTAAAACACCTTGGACACTCCTTGCTCTAACTTAAAAGCAAGCAATCAAGTCTAACCTTTGAATCTTCCGTAAGTCCAGATAAAGATATCCCAGTATAACCACCAGGTGGGTAAGTGCCTGTGACCCTGTGATAACGTTTGTCAGTGTTCAAATCTCCTGGTGGAAAAGAACCCTAGACTTGGTTAATACCAGGGACTTGATTAAGGTTGTGAAAGAAAGTGATCCAGTGAGAACATACTACAGCACCCCCAAAATTTTGCATACCCCAATACAGCAAGTTTAAGAGTGCACACCTCCATAAGGCAAGTTTAAGACGGTGTGCCCTAATAAAACAGGCTCAAGGCTGGGGTGCAAACACCAGAGAGGAGTGGGGGCTAAGGGAAATGGACAGATCCTCTTATCTCTGAAGAGACATCATCATACTCCTAGAGCTGCTGCCAGGATTTTAGCTGGATCTGTGTGTGTGTGTGTGTGTGTGTGTGTGTGCCCAGAGTTGGTCTCCAAACTGTTGTGTTATTGAGAGCATTTCTTGTTTCCAGGCCCTGATCTGTTTGTTGGTTTTTGCTATCAGCCCTTCCCTCCATTGACTCGAGGTGTTTGAAAGCCAGAGTTGCTAAGCTGACATTTCTAGTTCCACTTTTCATGCCTGGTGCCCAGTTAGCGGGTCAGGAAAGAAGAGTGTCTACCTTCTCCTGACCGTGCAGAACCACTCTCTTTGTAAGGAGGGAAGGCATTGGCTGAGCATGAAGTCTTAGCGGTGTTATGCTTCCTTACAGTGTCTCCCTGCTATCAGACTGAACAGCCTGCAAGCATATCACGAGAAGAAAGGTACTCGGACTAATCATAGCAAATCTCATATGCAAACAGAGGCTTGGATTTGTGCCAATTTACACCTCTTGTAAAAAATGGGAGTTTATGTCTCATCAGTTAGTCTTGCCTGTTAGCACCAGTTCCAACAGCCACTCTGCTATGACATCAGGGAGATGCTCTGCCTTTCACCTAGTTTGAAATGGTTGCAAAGCCATCTAAGAGTTCACCAAGTTCACCTTGTGTGTTAGCAGAATCTCTGTTATAAACTATGTGAAACAGTCTTGGCTGGTACGGCACCTCAGGAGCCGGTGTCCTTCAAGGCATTCATAGAATGTTCAAAATGGCTGACACAAGTTTGATAGTCCTTTTGCTCAGCCGGGGTAGCAAGGGAGAGTGCAACAGTTGCCCATTAGAGAGTTAAAAATGCCCCATCCCTCAACATTTTTGCCTACTGGAAAAGGAACATCAGAAGGAATGATTACAATGAGAAGTTAAGGAGCATGTCATTAACACTAATAGTAATTTCAAAAGATTTTGTTTTAAAACAAATGCTCAACATTTGCCTATTGCTCCAGGAAGGCCCCTGTACCACTTTAGGAACCAGTTCTCTGCTTCCTGTGTGTAGATTAAGAAGTGAGCACTCTGCAGCTGCCCAGGGCCTTGCCTGCCTGCTGCCAAGCTCCCTGCCATGACAGTGATGGGCTCTTATCTCTCTGGAACTATAAACCCTCAATAAACCCTCCTCTAAGTTGCCTCGGCCATGGTATTTTATCAAAGCAGAGTAACTAATACATTTGTCTGTGGTAACCACCTTTTTCTGATTTGTTCCCAAAGTCCCTTAGGTAAACTAGGACATTTGAAATCTCCAGCCTGACTTTTCTTTGTGCTTTTTTCTTCCAGGGGTCAGGCCAGTCATCAGTGGAGGGTCACAGAAGGCCACAAGGGGTAAATACTGCTCAGCAGCTGTACTTTACGACTATTGGATGTTGGGGATGAGTTACCAGGAGCTGTGTGACAGGTTGTACTGTTTAATTGAAACATGTTTTACATATGCATCAAGTGTCTTTATTTCCCTCTTGGTATCTTGTACCAGACAGTATTTTCCCCCAAGGGAAAAAAATGTAATGTCTGCCTTCTCTCTATATTGCCTTCATTAAGAAAATGTCACTTCCTTCACCTTAGGTGGTTCTCTCTATCTACTCTGTGTACATTATTTTCCAATAAAAGGCTCATGGGATGGAAAGAGCCAAAAGTCCTGTTATCTCTATTCCTTCCCTAAGTGTAAAACCACACAGTGTAGACTGACCCAATGGGCCTTAAACCAACAGCAACAAAATAACAGCAGGCTGGCATAGTAGCACATTCCTGTAACTCTAGCAACTTGAAGATGGAGGTAGCAGGAGGATCAAGGCCAGCTAGCACTATAAATTGAGTTCAAGGCCAGCTAGCACTACAAATTGAGTTCAAGGCTGACCCCAGCTACGCAGTGAAACTCAGTCTAAACAAACAAGCCAGCTGGGCAGTGGTGGCTCATGCCTTTAATCCCAGTACTCGGGAGGCAGAGTTGGATGGATCTCTGAGTTTGAGGCCAGCCTGGTCTACTGAGCGAGTTCCAGGACATCTCCAAAGCTACAGAGAAACCCTGTCTCAACCAAACCAAACCAAACCAAAACCCTATCTCAACCAAACCAAACCAAACCAAAAAAAGCCAAGAAAGAATCTCCCATCTGAGGAGATATAGAGGGGTGATGGGCAGTAGAGTAGTTAGTTTAGAGGGTCCTGGTAGGTTGACCATTCTCCAGTGGACAGTCCCATAACCATGAATATATGGGCATTAAAAATTGGACTTAGTAGAGTAACATATAGAGGACATGAAGTTGGGAAAGTGTGTGTGAGTGAGGAGGATCCAGGAGTAGTTAGGGGAGGATGGAGGTGAATGTTCTTAAAATACATTGAATTCATGTGTAAAATTCTCAAAAGGATTAATAAAATTAGAAAAAATATGAGTTTTAGATAGTCTTGGCTGCATAATGAGTTCCAGGGCATCCAAGGCTACTTAGTAGGACCCTGTCTCAAACCCAAACAAACCCAAACTAATAATACCAAAGCAGACACTTACCCCTCTTCATGGTACAGTTCCATTATGTGGCAAGCCGCATAGGGAGGGAGAATTCCATTATAAACATCTAGCGCCATCTGCAGGCCACTTACAGTAGTGTCGTGCTACAGAGATCAGAAACAAATCATTTTGTTGCTGGCTTCCTGATTCAGAGTCACACATATCAAACTTCAGCTTGTGTGAGCTACGATGATGGTGCCTGATTCTTCCATGATCTCAATGACTTAATATGTAAGAAGTGGGAAAGAATGAGTTTCTCTTGCATTTCTGGGCAGTAAGAGTTACTCGTATATTGTTTTCATTTAAAAGATGAAGACATTGGTACCCAGAGAAATTAGGCCCCTTGCTTAATTTCATATAGACATAAATAGGATAAATGTGAAGTAAATCTTCTGATTTTAAGTCCCATGCCTGTGGGTGCCTCTTTTCCTTCTGCATGCGATACTGGTTTTCAATACATTTAAAAAGTCTGGAACACATGGATGCTGTTACATTTCCCACAGATTTGTAATATCTTTGATTTTTATTTTTAAAGTTATAGAAAATTATCTGATATAAGTATGTTTTGGGAGGTTCGAGATGTAAGGAAGTGGAGAGTGAAAGATTTAAACATTAGATGATTATGCAGTCCTGGCAATCCTGGAACTCTCTCTGTAGACCAGGCTGGACTTGAACTCACAGAGATCCGCCTTCCTCTGCCTCCCGAGTGCTGGGATTAAAGCTGTGCACCACCACTGCCTGAACACAGTAGTTCTTTACCTTAGAGTGGTTTTTAGTCCCACTCTTGGCATAGGGGAACCTTCTAATCTTCCATATGTATAAAATGGGAGAGCATTTGACTGCCTGGGGCTAGACCTCAATTGGGAGAGTACACAAATCCCTGAGTTCCATCCTTAGTATTGAGTGTCTCTCTCTCTCTCTCTCTCTCTCTCTCTCTCTCTCTCTCTCTCTCTCTCTCTCTCCCTTCCTTTCCTCATTTGTTGCATACATCTGGATGCCTAAGCTGAATGGCCGTGCACACATATTTAAAAGGAGTTAGTAATCTAGTTATAGCTAAGCCTTTCTAGAATCCACACAAGTCAGGACTGGAACCTCACTTAGAAGCTTTAAGAAACTGACAGTATTGTCTGATTCCAGGCCCTCTTCTCTCTCACAGAAGCACTTCCCTTATCTTCCTCCATGGGCTTTTCCATTTAGTTTTTTTTTTTTCCATTTAGAGTGCTTGCTGATAATAATGCTCCTCCCTTCAGGCTCTTCTTTCCTTTTCTCCTGCCAAAGCATAGCTTTCCTCATAACAAAGATAACCCTTTCCTGTCCTTTTGCCACCCCAGTTTTATGCTGTACCCCCATCCCCCCTCAACACACACCAGTCTTCTATACTATATTCTGTTCCCAGCTTCCGGTCATCTACGGGAAGATGCATTCCTACAGTGATGTCATTGTTTTACCTCCCCAGGCCTGTCTTCCCTGAGTGAACACCTTTGGGGGGGGGGGGCTTTACTCACATTACCACAACAGGCACGTAGGACAAGATGGCCTTTCAGAGCCTTCTAGCTCAGATAGTCTGCATTGTTTGTAGACTGCCTAACAAAATATGATGATAAGAAGGCTCTGTGTCTATGGTGTCTAGTCCAGGAGATGCTGGCTGCATAGTTGCATGGTTTAATGGCTGCATGAACTGCACAAATGTGCACAGTGCAATTGAGGCACTTAAGCTATCGTTCTTTGCTTCTTTTCTTTTTTCCTTCTCCTCTTCTCCCCCCCCCCCTTCCTTCCCCTTTTTGAGACAGGGTTTCACTGTATAGCCCAGACTAGCTTAGAACTCTCTCTGTCAGTGGTTCTCAACCGTGGTGCTGCAACCCTTTAATACAGTTCCTTGTGCTGTGATAACTTCCGACCATTAAATTGTTTTGCAACCCTTTAATACAGTTCTTCATGCTGTGGTGACTTCCACCTTTAAATTATTTCATTATTACTTCGTAACTATAATTTTGCTACTGTTATGAATCATAATGTAGATATTTGATATGCAGGGTAACTGATATGTGACCCCTGTGAAAGGGTCATCAATTGCTAAAGAGGTCATGACCCACAAGTTGAGAACCACTGCTCTATACAGTCCAGACTTGCGTTGGACTCATAGCAATCTTCCTGTCCCAGTCTTCCAGGTAAATGCTGAGATTACATGAATGAACTATCATATCCAGCCTGAGGTTTTGTTCTATGTAATTATAACAGAGTTAAATGTAAACAAGTTCTATATCAGGTAGACCAGTTATCTGATAATTTGATACCAGAGTCTCTACAAAAATAGTCCTAGCTGTTTACTGTTTTAGCAGGTCTTTTCATAAGCCCTACATACCAATGAGTAACCACTTACTACCCCTTTTCTCTTAGTGACTCAGTGGGCTGCCTGGTTCAGGATGCCGGATGCATCTTTTCCCCATGCCTTAGCGCAGAGGAGGGCTGGTTGCCTCTTTGGAGGCCTAAAAGCACTTGCTTCTAGTGGGTTTCATATTGCATAGTCTGGTATAGTCTGGTGTGTCTGCCTGTCTTGAGGTTGGTATTCATATTACATTGTAAATTCCTCAAGGATGGGATGATGTATTTAATTTTAGAAGCTTTATGCAGATTTCTACCCTTCTCTGGGTGATAGAAACACAAAGATGATGAGATCATACCCTTAAACACTGCTAAATGAACACTGAAGTACTTACTGCAGAATACATGACAAATTTTCTGTACTTCTGTGACTGAGTTGCAGTTTTCATGTTCTTGAGGATTTCATTGACCAGTACACCTTAAGGTAGACAAGACAAACAACAGAGTTAAAGTAAACCAGGCTCATCTAATAGTCTGTGGGCTTCTTGTCTAATCATAACCAAGAGCTCTATCTGTTGTGATTTAACAGACTATTCTAAAATCTAGTTTTGGCTCATAATCTGCTGCATGCCAGGCCATATGAGTTAGGTCTTGTGGAAGCTGAAACTCAGAGGCATACGTGACTTACACAGCTTGGAGAGGAGAGCTGAATGGGCCCCTGAGCTCTCTCCTATCCCAGCTTTCATTAAAGCTCGAGTTGGAGGCTGATAGACTTGGAAGTTCCCATGCTTTTCAGACCATAAAGACACAGTTCATTGTTAGCCAATGATCTTTTCCAAAGTTGAGCCGAGATGATGGCACAGCAGATACTTGAATCTTCATCTCTGGCTTCTACTCTCTGGTATTCAGACCTGTGGGAGGCCGTGGGAGAAAGCAGCTCTCTGTATGTTTATTCAGACCACCAACTGTTTCCTGTGGACATTTCGTCAGTGTGTGTGCATGTGTGTGTGCATGCGTGTGTGCATGCATTGTGTGTGTGTATGTGTGTACATGGAGCCAGCATCATCCTAAACTCATTGCCAGGGCTGCAGCCTACCACAAAGACCCCTGCCCACTGAGGACAAGCTGCTCCTTGCAGGTAGTTCTTAGGAACTTAGCAACTGAGTTTAGATAAACAACAATTGCCATCTCCATTCTGTTGTAGACACTGAAAGCTGGGGGTATATCTAGCAATACCAGAGTTTTGATGACATACTGCCTTAGAGACTCCCCCCAACAACCTTCTCTATTGAAGAGTTTCCATAGAGTTGAGTTCTTGTGCCACTGTTGGTGTAAACATTCTGGCTCAGGAACGAGTGGTGGTGATACATATTATTGGTAATGAGAAAAACTGAAGGCAACAGTCTGACCATAATCTCAGAGTATATAGTATGTAGTATGTTCAGAAACATACACCAAGCAGTTTTGAACCGGGCAGGCACAATGCTAAGTGAACCAGATATAACCTCTGCCCCCCAAAACTAAAGAAATAGTTCCATATAGGATTGCGGGCTGGTAAGTGGAGACAGGTGACTTCTTTTTGTATGTGGATGCTGGGATTTCCTAGTTGTGAGCAGAAGAAACTGGATGCTGCACCTTGAACAGGGCCATGCCTCTGTTCCAGGGAAGGCTTACCCCTAGAATACTTGGGGGTATTTCATCTTGTTCTTCCTGCTACCTCAATCCTAAATTCAGTTGCTAAGTTCCTAAGAACTATCTACAAGGAGCAGCTTGTCCTCAGTGGACAGGGGTGCCAGGTTGCAGACCTGGCAATGAATACAGTACCCCTTTTAGTTCTGGGGACAGTTCTTCTGTTAGTCTTATTACCGTAAGTACCCAGATGATAGGCCCTGGAATCCTAATATGCTGTTGTATATGTGGGGAAATGAAGCTTGGTAAGACTCAGCAACACATTCAATGTTACATAGTTTGTAAGCAGAAAGGCTGGGCTTTGAAGCCCATATAGATCATGCTGGAGCATGATGCTCGCTTCTAAGATTCTTGTGTCATTCTTTACTAAATCCATATAAATCAGACAAAACCTCATTGATTGGGAGACATAATGTCTACTTCTTTGACTCCTAAGCTATATACAACAAAACTTAGCAAACTTATTTTTTTTTTCTGTACAAGGCCAGTAAGTAAATATTTTAGATTTTGTGAGGCACAGGTCTGTTGCCACTATTCTACTTATTAGTGGTATCAAGGAAGTTGCTCTAGGCAGAACAGAATACATGGGTATAGTTGTTTCAATAAAGCCTTATTATAACCCCCTTTGTAGCCATTGCCGGAACATCAGCTACCAATCTCATCTGTGACTGCTGACTTCCAAGTGTCTCTTCCATTCAGAGGAACACCGACTTCCCTTCTTTCCACAGGGCTAGGCAGAAGTGTCATGTCCCACCCATGTCCATCAGAAAGGACAATGATGTTCATCTTGTACAAGGATGCTATAAAGGTCAGGAGGTTGGCACAGCAAGACAGGTTTTCAGGAAGGAATGCATTCAGTGCACTGGGGAAGGCAAATGGCACATGTCCACATGGCATTCACCCCAGCATGATGCCTCATCACCAGGCTAAAATCATACAAAGGCCACGTCTGAACCTGACTCTTGCTATTTCACATTTTAGCCTGCTCCCATCGATCTCCTGGCAAGTCCCAGTAACTACCTCATTCTGGATTCTTCTTCTACTTCCCTGTCCTAATTATAAGGACCCAGCATCCCCTTTCTGGCTTTGCCTCTGTGATGGGAGGGTGTCAAAGACTACAATGCCAATTCTAACTGTGAAGTGGGGTCACTGATAAATATCTTGATATCTTTCGGTACCAGTGGAAGAAATCATATACATTTGCCAATTGCAGTATTTGTCAAATATTGGCAAAACATATCAAACTTCACACTTGTAGTGCATCCTAGCAGCTACCAGACACAACTTGTTCTCCTAAAACCCAGATGTAAGTCCTTAATCATCACATCTGGAAGAAATGAAAAGGATCATTTGGCTTTAGTCCCAAACTCTCATTCCCAGAAGTAAAAATTTACACCCAAAGTGGGCAATGTAAATCTCTTATGGCAATGCAGTGTTCATGGACAGTGGGCTAGGTACCAGTTCCTATTTGTCCTAAGCCTCCTAAATGTATGTTCATTTTAGTATTCATTGTCTCTTGCACAGTGTTCGTCTTCTTCCATCCACTTTGCAGAATAGAAACTGCAAGATGATAAAGTGACCCCTGTAAGTCATTCAGTGGGTGGATAACAGGACTGGAACTCAGACCCAGACTGTCTAAGCGCGCAAAGCCAATGTTTTTTTCTCACTATATATATAAAAATACTCACCTCCCTGGAGTCTAGATTTCTCTTTTTGCTTGTGAATTCCATAAAGTGATAGCAGAGATAATTCTGATAACTCTCTCAACTTAGTCATGGCGTCCTGGGTGGCCCAAGAGGGCAAGGTGAAATTGTGCACACTCTGCAGAAAAGGGGAAGGAGGGAAATGTGTGCACATTGTGATTTATGGCTTTCTTTGCTGATTTCCGTTTCTCCTTCATTCTGTAAGAACTACTAGGGCCAGGCAGCCTTGCCGATCCCGCCTTTTCTCTCTAAGAATTTATGAGAGCTATCCATGATTTTCAGGTGGAAGATCTAAATAAGATAATTTGTCTCTCCCCCCCCCCCCAAGCCTGTAGCTTTAAGGCTTAGCTCTGAGTCAATGTATAATTCAGGTTTTACAGAAAACGATGCCATGGGACAAAGATGTACCTACTCCTTTATGAAAGGTTTAGGAATATTGTCACGAAGGGAGGCTGTACCACTTAGTTTTTGTCAGCTAGACATGAACTAGAGTCACCTGGGGAGAGGGACTCTCCATTGAGTAATTACCCCCATTAGATTGGCCTTAAGCAGGCCTGTGGGACATTTTCTTAATAGGTAACTAATGTCAGAGGGGCCAGCCCACAGTGTGCGGCACCACACCAGCAAGTGGGCTGGGGTTACATAAGAAAGCTGGCTGAGTGTGAGTCAGGGGGGGCAAGGCAGTGAGTGATATTCCCCTGTGGTCTGTTTCTAGGACAAAGGCAATAGGACTTAGGTGAGGTGATGTTCCCTAAAAATCAGAACTTTCTTATGAGGGCACTTATAAAAGTCCCTGCATTTCTGGAACCTTCACAGATTTACTATGTTGATTAGGACTCGCCTAGTTTCAAAAGTGGGAGAGGGCACAGGGAGGGAGAGGCAGGGAGGAGGGAAAGAAGAGGTTATAAGAGGAGCAGAGTGAAGTAAAGGGATGCAGGAGGAAGATGCAGAGGATGTGAACAATGCCACTAGGTAACATAGCCTTATTAAAGAATAGCTCTGATCAAAACATATGGGTGTTACTCGGTGATAAAGCCTGGGAGTAGCATGGCTGTGTCCTGGTCTTAATCTCCAGAATGACTATACACACAAAACATGCAGAGAAGAAAAAGGGGAGGAGAAAGAAGAAGGAAGAAGAGGAAGAGGAAGAGGAGGAGAAAGAAGAGGAGGAGGAGAAGGAAGAAGGAAGGAAAGGAAAGAAGGAAGGAAGGAAGGAGGAGGAGGACGAGGAGGAGGAGAAGTCACCAGAACTACAATGAGGGGCCTTAAACAAACACTGAAGATAAAGAGAAAGTATAGACGGCTTGGTCAGGTGACCTGTCATGGAGATGGGTAAACTGTGCCATCTCTCTTTGAGACAGAACTAGGAAGGTTACTCCTGCTCCCACACTCATGACCTCCATGTCAGATGTGGACATGAGGCATGGAGAGGTCAGAATTCACCCCAGGATACAGGAATGAAAATTACTCCTTTTGGCCAGAAGATGGAGCCCGTTGAACAAAAAGCTTTATCCCCTACAAGTATGATTCCCATCTCACCACACAGGGGAGTTCTTTCCTCAGAAGCCATGGCTGACAGCTTGGCTTAGAGTTGAGTGACATATTTTAATATCCAGAAACCTGGCAATTTCCTCCTCTTTTTATATATAACAACATTGCTTTTTTTTTCATTAAAACCAAAGACAGGAACCTGGCATTCCAGTGTTACTGCAAAATGAACGAGTGGCCATGTTTTGAAGAAAAGCGATTTTGTCTGCAATTTTCTAAAGGGCAGAAACATAAATAATAAGGAGAAAAGAGAAGTACGGATTTTCAAGCTTGCATAAGGACACCCTGAGTTATGTCTCAATATCAAAGGCCATATAAGCAGCACATTTTTAAAAAGAGAAAGAAGATGAATGAATGTATCTGATTCAATATACATACTAAATCACAAAATTAGATTGCAAATGAATTTTTTATAAGTTCTTTTACCTCACAATACAAAGGGTCGTAAACCTTACTCCAAATTCCAAAAAGGTCCTGGCCAGGGAATCCTGACAGTGATGGCAAGGTTTCTATGAAGCTCTGGAACACAAAGAAAAGGAAAATATTTCAACATGGGGACTTTCCACAATCTCTATTGCAGCAAGAAGCAGCCAGTGATATTAGCAATGATAACGGCGACGAAAAAATTTGATGTGAGCTTCTTTCTTATAGTACATTAAAGCTGAAGATACATGCTAGCTTACTGCCACATGTTCCTGGTTTGTGCTGGGGTCTGAGAAAAGCACTCTACATGGGACATTCTTCAAAAATGGGTGAAGTAGGGGATAGGGGAATGTGAGTGAATGTGTGTGTGTGTGTATACATATAAACATATGTGTGTGTGTGTACAGGTGTGTGTGTGTGTTCTGCATGTGTGTGTGTACAAATGCAATATCTATTTGTGCAAGCATTTGACCAGAAGGTTCTGTGCTGCCATAACAAGATCCATGTCCAGGCTGAGGTTGGCAGCCATTTCAAGGAAGTCTTTTGGAAGACAGTTTAATGGATAAATTCTCTAGAAGACTATACCTTGCCAATATTAACCTCAACAGACTTCTATCAAAAAACCAGAAATAAGTGTTAAAGAATATTCCATTCCTGGGGCTGGGAAGACAGCTTGATTTCTCGTACCCATGTAAAAACTTGTGCTTGGTGGCATGAGCTTATAATCACAGAATCAAAGAGATGGAGACTAAGGGCCATTGGGGACTTCTAGCCAGCCAGTCTAAGCAAAGGGAAGGCCCCAGCTCCCAGTGAGAGACCCTGTCTCAAAAAACAAAACAAAACAAAACAAAAAACAAGGTAGATGGTCTATACTTGAAGGTGACTCTGGGCTCTACATACAAGTGTGTGCACATAGGCATAGAGGAACACAAATACACCTACCCTCTATATATGAAAGATGATTCCCATTTTTCCTGGCTCAAATATAAAAACCCCAGAATGCATGATTTCTTTAGGGAACTTCATGGGGTCCCCCTTTTCTTCACAGTCATCAGTTGGCCACCAGTCCACGAGGACAAAGGAGTAGAAATGGTAACAGAAAGCTTTGTATGTGGCTTGTGAATATTGACACAAAAGCACAAAATGTTAGCAAATAATTCAGTTTCACATGAAAGGAGAAAGGTTTGATTTGAGAAATGTAAAGATAGATCAATTCTAGTACATCTATGAGTACAGTTAATCACTGATTCAAGGAGGGAGATGATTCCATTGGAAAAAAATCTTTCTAAAGATTAAGAGAACAATTGATTTTTGAAACCACACATTAAGTCAGGGACAATGGATACAGTTTGTTTTGTTTTAGTTTTGAGACAGGGTTGCTATGTGTAGCACTGGATTGCCTAGAAGTCTCTGTGTGTCTCAGCCTGGCCTAGAACATGGGCTTCTCTTCCTGTCTCTGCCTCCTGAATGCTGGGATTATAGATGGGTTACCACCATGCCTGGGGATTGGATATAACCTCAACTTAATGAAAAAGAAACTATTATATTTTGGCTCAAAAGTTAGCGCCTTTAACAGAAGAAAATATGTAAACTAAAAATATGACAATGGTGTCTGCTATGATGCTGACAGTAAGTAAATTAAAATAAATTATGGTATATCAACTAAAACACTGCACATTCACAAAGAAATTGAGGAGATACTTCATATAAATATAAAATATTTTCCAGATATTTTATTAATTAATGATTTTTTTTTCTTTTCATTTTTTTTTTCAAGGCAAGTTTTCTCTGTGTAGCTTAGGAGCCTGTTCTGGAACTAGCTCTTATAGACCAGGTTGGTCTCAAACTCACAGAGAGATGTGTCTGCCTCTGCCTCTCAAGTGCTGGATTTAAAGGCATACACCACCCCTGCCTGGCTAGTAATACAAATTTTTAAAAGGTGGGCAGCCTTGTGATTGGTATAATGCTTCAGTGAAACAAAGGGGAAATTTACCTATTTGAATATGCACAAGAAAACTGGAAGACTACATAGAAAATAACATCATTGGTCACTTGAGGGAGGGGGGTTATTGAAAGAGCACCACATTCTATTGTGTTTACGTTTTATGTTTCTAATCCTTAGACCAGAGGTGTATAACTAACTCAAATGGTTACCTTTTGAACATCCAAATGATCATGTCTACCTTTTGTGCCATTCTGAAAAGCAAATATTTCACAAAAGGGATGACATACTCTATGTATAGGAAAATGGGGGCCTCAGTTCCTTGGCCTCCAAGCAGGCCATCCTCACTAACCTGTCAAGGACTTGGGTAAAACACTCGGAAGGGACCGGCTTCTGTACTGGCTGGTGGCTGCCACACGGAAAGAAACTGGGTAGGATGACTTCCTTAGTTAAATACCCTAGCCCACTGGTAAAACCACTGACAGACACATTCACCCCACACTTCTTTCAAGGAGGCTGAGTTCATCCTTTGTCTTGACCTTCACACCCCAGCATTCGGGAGATGACACTACTAACTTTATATGGATGGAGCCTCCTCTGGAATTCCTCAGATTGCAAAGTCTCGCTCTGGAGTTCTTTAAAACGAGGGCAGTCCCTGAAAGGCAGGTAGAGCAACTGCGAACAAAAGAAAAACCCATAAGACCTTGATTAGTGAGTGGAGCATTGGCCAACCTTTTAAGCCTCATTAGGTCTAAAGCAACCAGCCTTAAAATCCCCCAGGGTTCTTTGAGCGGAATAGAAATTCTAAAATTAGAGGCAACGAAGCAAATGGTCCTCAGGCCTTAAAACAATAGGGCATGTACCCCGATGCAGGAACTGTGATTTATTTATTTCCCTTCCATTAGTTTGCTACTGGTAAATATGCACAGTGCTCATTTTCTGTGTGGATGACTATTATCTTGCTTTCTCCCCAACACCATTAATTCTGGCACTAAGTGCACATCTGTGTGCACCTGCTCTATCCCAGGAGTTAGGTGAGATAAATTAGAGGTCTGGGGATAGAATATTAAAGGGATCAACTATTCATTGGCTTCATTCTAGCAAATCTGCAGACTGTCAAAAATAAGGGTATGTATTAAATGTATGGGAAATACAATTAAAAGTCTATTAGGAAGACAAAATAATTATCATAAAACTAGTGTAAGTTTCACAATTGTCTCAGCTTTAAGTATAATGCGCAGGCTGCTGAGTCACAAGTTTGTCTGGGGCTCTTTTCATTTGGGCTGGTTTTGCAGCTCTTGACAGCACTATTTGGAGGCTGCTCTTTGATCACTGATGTTCAGAAGGTCAGTGTGTATAAAGCTGAGGTCAACTCCATCTTCAATCATTTCCTTTTACTAATGTCTTTGCTTCTGCCCACGATAAAGTTTATTAACCGGCTTTGGAGGCACTCACTGGAATTGGTCTACTTTCAACCTGGCTCTAACACAGACCCCTTCCTTCATCTTTGCTGTCCTCTCCCAGTCTGAACTGGCATAGTCTGCGTTTCAGGAACTACCCATGCCTCCTATCTGATGAGTTGCGTTCCATCCCTCTGACTTCTCAGTCCATTCTCCTCGCAGCAGCTACACCATCTCTAATGGCACCCCAAAGATCAAATCATTTTTGTTGGTCTTAACTTCCACAGACTTTTCATTTTACCTGGAATCAAATCCAAACTTGCCATGGCTTATAAGAGTCTATGTGAGGTGGCTAGTAAATAATAGTAAGTGTTTTACCCTACGCCCCCACGACTGTTCATGGTCACATTCTCCTGTCCAGATATACTGGGGACCTTCTTGCATGAGTGACCCACCTTAGAGTTTCTAAGCCACTCTATCCCAGCCACCACAGAAACTTACTTCCTTCTTCCAAGGAACTTATATCAACACAAAAGCATTTTATTGGTGTTCTTTATTATCTATAAGACTGTAATCTCAAGTGAACTGGCCTTTTTATTGTCACGCTCTCTGAAGCATTGTCAACAACTAGAACAGGGTGGTGTGCTAGTCACTACTCAGAAAGCTTTATAAATTGCTTCTGGTCTGTCCTTTCTGATGCTGTATGTCACCTTGTTTTTATCTTTGCTTCCTTCCTTCTTATGACCATGTAATCTCAGAGCTTCATTTCTGCATCCCTGAATTACATCAACAGTTATTCTCTGAGACTCCAACATCCTTTCCTTCTAAGCACTGTCAGGACAAGGGCTCAATACACCACTTATTACATGAATATACTATTGAGGAATGCATGCTTTCATCTCCTTTCATCTCCTCCCTTACCTCAGCAGTCTAGCTCAGAGAGAGAGAGAGAGAGAGAGAGAGAGAGAAAGAGAGAGAGAGAGAGAGAGAGAGAGAGAGAGAGAGACTGCACGTGTGTATGTGTGGATGGAAGGAGGGAAACAACCAAAAGTTGAAACGGTAGTAAAGTAAAATGGACCCAAAGAAAATCTCAGCTCCTAGCCTTGATTGTCTGGGCATTTCCATGTCCCGTGTATCCAGCATACTGAATCTATAAGTCCCTAGCAACCTGATTTCCTCCTCCATGATTACCCAGGATACTGACCCGATCTTCAGAGAGAGACACTGTGTGCACTGGGATGGGCTGCCAGGGCAGGCTGGGATTCCAGATGCTGATGCCCTCTGGGGGAAACAGGGCTGCAAGGTTTGTCATAGCACTCATCAAAGTCCGGTCAATATCTGTGCTTCGAATATAAACCTAGACAGAGATAAATCAAAGCAGATGGAAAATTAGAAAAACACTCAATGTTTTCTTTCTGTGGAGCTGACAGGATGTCAGGAAAAGAGCTGAAGAGAAGCACGTGATATCAGCAGGCACTGTGGGAACATCATAGTCATATCTCTTAAGGGGTGGATAATACCAAAATATACAATGGGACGAAAAGCAAGCAGTAGACCAACAGATGAATTGACCAGTGATTTGAAGCCAAAGTATTTGCACAGGTACCTATAAAACCCTGGAATAAGATTCATAAATTTTAGGGCAAAATAATTCCATAAACAGCAATACATCTGTAAACAAGATCTCTGCTGTGTATAAGTTCTTCAGAAAATAGGTAAAGGTATAAGTTCCTTATGAGCATGAAGAATGATTTTGATTTTTTTCAAGGGTCAAGGTTCAAAGTTCTGGTTCCCCAACTTGCCTGATCATGTTTATAGGACTCATTCAAGAATCTTCCATATCTTCTCTTTATATAACTTCCAAGTTCATAGTGCTGTTCCATGCCCCTCTATGGGGAAAGAAAATAAAAGCGAAGGTTAGGGAAACTATACATTATGTGTCTCTCTTCATTGTGTGTAACATGAACAAGATATGCATCACAGCTCCACAATAAAACCTCCTTTTTAACTAAGACAAGAGAGAACAGTTGCCTTAGTCAAGACACCCTGAGAATATGCCTTTCTCTTTGTTAGAACACAATGTAGAGGCTTGTGTACTCTTAACCACTGAACCAGCTCTCCAGCCTCAGGAATCTGTTTTTAACTGTCTCTCTCAGAGAGTTCAATGGATCCTTGAGATCAGCTTTAGCTCAGTGGCCCTGGAGCACTGGTGTGCATTAAAATAAAAGTACCCAGAGGCACCTGTTGAAATTAAGCATCTCCCCCCAAAGATTCTAGCTCTCTGTATGTGGAATGTGGCCCTGGAATCTGTTATAACAAGGACTCCAAAAGATTCAGGCTGAGGTAACAGTGTGGCAGGCTTAGAGGAACATTGCACTGAGGTTTGTCATTGATCCAGAGCCTCACCAGAGATCTTCAAGTCAGAGAGGATGCAGTCAGTTACTGAAGCCACTGCTTGCACACACTGCCTCATTCGCTTATCACTTAGAAGCATCTCTATCATCACCTCTCATCAAATATGAGGATGAATGTTGTGAAGGAAAAACATACCATGGCCTGAGTAGCTGAAGAAGTGGGTATTTTGGGTCAAACTGTCTTGAAATCTACAGCTGATTTTTGGAATCTGACTGTGACTTAAGAGACTTCTAGGTTTGAATCTGGACCTCATGGTCCTCAAAAATCTTTCAGTCTCACTAGAAAATCAGAGCAAGGAAACAGGAGCCCTATACTAAGAAAGCAATGCATGAACTGTTGTGACATTCTCTCGTTTAGACAGAAAGGTGGTTAGGCCATGGTGGGAAGGGCTCTGACCTGAAGCAATAGATACTGGCTTCCCATAGCTTTTCTGAGTTACAATTTCTGCAAAAACTGATGGTTGATTAGGGCCACGATTCTCAGCTTTAGCTGAAGACTAAAAATAAGGCAATCAGTTGAGGAGCATCCAAACCTCTTAATGCCCTAGCCATGCCCTATGCCAATTAAATAAGACATTGCTATTATTTGTTAACATGTTTCTAGACAATCTCCATGGAAACCTCTCACACTTAAATACAGTTAGCAGGATAAATGCATCAAAGTGGGAAATTCTGTACATATTTCTCCTTTACTAAAAAAATTAACCAAAACTGCGGTCTACACCTGAAATCCTTGCACTTGGGGGGTGGAAGAAGGAGTTCAAGGTCATTCCTGGCTATGTAGGGAGTTCAAGGCCAGCCTGTACTATATAAAACTCTGCCTCAAAAATATATTAAAAAAAAAAAAAGAACAAGAAAATAGATCAAACTAACCTGGGTGAGTTGGCCAAATCCTTGTGGCCATGAGGATTCCTTAATGGGGTCGTTAGGAAAGGTATCGATGGGACTTCGGTCTCCGTGCCGAAACACCTAAAAAAAGGTGTGGGACAACAACATTACAAAGTTCTCTTGAGTATTTTGCCTCTACCTGTCATAATAGAATGTCTTAAACCATGGCTGCCACCTTGTTGGTCCACTGGAATCACCTGGAGAGCTCTAGAAAATTCTAATGACAAAGTGTCCCATCCCTTAGTTTTGTTACTTGGGCTTATAACCAAAAGTATCATTCTTCTAAAATTCTGTACAAATAAAACTCAGGTGAAGAACCACCAACATTGTCTTGTGCTTGAGGTAATCATAACAGTCAAAATGACTGGCCATTGGAAAGCAAAGGATATATGCATGGAGACAGAGTCATGTGTCCTAGGTGATAGACAGATGCATATGCACACAAACTCACTTGTTGCAGACAGGCCAATTAGAAATATTCTTCTCTTAATTACTGTGACAGCAACAATGCTCTTAAAATTTCACATGCAATATAAAACTGGTTTTGAAATGACACGCTCATTTTTGGACACTTTGGTTTAGTAATTAGTTAGTTTTATGAGGTTGGGGGCACATGAGGAGATTAGAAAAGCCAGATTTCAGCACTTTAATAACACACTTTTGGATCTGTATACATACCATGCTATTCTGACTGTACATTTGATTTTTTAAAAAGGCATTTGGACTTCTGAAATCTTGGTACTTTGACTCTAAAATAGTAGCATGTCAGGCCAAACTCAATGTTATTTTATAATTAAAGCATAAGGAAAGAAAAGCAATCAAGAAGGACAAGGTGAGGTTTTACGTGGATGTAGAAAGTATTTAATAGCACACAGGATGGTTGCATAACACTTCATTTAATCTGAGATCATCTTTGTCACTTGGATTACCTACTGAGAGACCCTCCACTGTAAGTAAGCAAGGATACTGTGTTTTCTGAACACCTACCAAACAGTTTAGTAAACATGGAGGAAGGAACACCCCCAAACTCGAGTCACTTTTAGGAAGGAATTCCAGAGTAGCAAGGAAGGCCTCCAAGACCCATGCTATGACTCTGGTGTCTGAACAAAGTGCTTCTTTGCTGCCCTAAACCAGTAGGAAATTGAAAGCTCAGCAAGACAGCCTACATAGCACCGAGGGGAACAGCGAGTGGTAAGAGGCCCTTGGGGGCAGGTAAAGAAATAGAGCTCTGCTGTGTCCCTTTCTGGCAGGAAGAACAGCTGCTGGTGCCAGTCTGCAGGAGCAACGAGGTCATGAGTGGGAGCCACCCATGCTAGCCATTAGTGACTCTGTTTCCATTATCAGGTGCATGCTAGTTAGACTGCTTGGATCCCCAATCACCGTGCAGCAAACCTTCCCAGATCTGAGGAATGAGAACTCTGACATGGCTTTCACAGATTACTAGCCTCACATTGATTTTTTTTCAATTTAGCACTGTACATTCTCAGAGGTGGATACTTCTCCACTATAGGAGCTGTCTTGTGTACTGTTTAGCAGGCCCTTGGCCTCTTGCTCAATAACTGCCCATAGTATTTCCTTGTTATACAATTGCAAAGACCTTACCACTGAGTTAGACAAAGAGAAATCACATAATGAGCATTCTATTGAAACAATGAACAACCAACCCTTCCTACCAGAGCACAATGCTTCCTCCCAGCATCCAACTACAACAATATTTTCTTCATGCTCTTTCCATACTTACTCTACCTTGAGAGGTTGCTAAGTACTTCTCATGTTTAATCCTCTCACCCAGTTCTGCAACTTAGTCACTATCATTATACATTTCACAGCTCATCTTAGTTAAGTGATGAGTCCAAATCCTCAAGCAGGTAAGAGGTAGAACTAACCAGGCATTGGCCATGTGTCTTTCATTACACTGTCTTTGTGTGTGTGTGTTTGTGTGTGTTGCACAAGAAGAATCCAAAACCTTGTTATAAAAGAAGTTTCTAAGGCACCATAATCTATGTGCAGTATTTAAATAATAAAGCTGAGGCACAATAAACAAACAAATAAAAAGTGTGACTTCCTTAGCAGAGCAATGCCCTACAATTGGCAATCACCTGTAATCACAGCACCCAGCTACATAGTGAGTTCCAGGACAGCCAGGGCTATGTAGAGAGGCCTTGTCTCAAACAAACAAACAAACAAACCTAAAACAAACCAACAATTCCCTCAAAGACCCAAAGCAACATCAAAACAGCCAAATGTAGTGTTGAATACTATATAATGAGTTAGAGGCCAGCCTGGAATATGAGACCTTATTCAAATAAACAAAACAACACACACACACACACACACACACAAATAAAATGAAACAATAAATACATTTAATAAGGAGCAGACTCTGAAGTTAACCCTGACTATACTCAGGAATAATTGTATTCTCACATGATACAGCAGATTTTAAATGTTGCTAAGTTAGTGGCTGAAACATAGCATGAACTTTTGTGAGAAGTGTCCCACAAAAACATAAATATCTTTGTTGCAGTGAGGAACTTCAAACTGCATGGTGCGCGCGTGTGTGTGTTCATGTCTACATGCATGTGTCAATGCCCGTGTGCCTGGTAACATTCACTGATCTCAGAGTTTCTCAACTTAGCAAGGACTATGTCTAGGCATTCTTAAGTCTACAGTGCAACAGTCTCCCAACCCTACTACATTATTGCTTCTGGCCCCAGTCAAAAGCTTTAGAAAACTAAAAATGCATTATTAAAGGTGAGGAGTTTCCACAGAGCTAGAGATGGTTGCAGCAGGAAGAGATCTGAGACCTTGAGGACTCTCAATCACTTACTCTATGCTTAAAAGACCCCTTTCCCCTGCTATCTCTTGTGATCATTTGTTTTAGAAAGGGTCTCCCTTGTCATACCCTGATCTAATCCAGGATGGTTTGAATTTGCAATGATCCTCCTGCTTCAGCCTCCCAAACACTGGGATTGCAGCGGGCATGAACCATACCTGAATTTCCTGGCCTCTTTTACTATGTTAATCCTAACAACTCATGAGCATGGGAACTCTTCCTATCTTCTGATATCCTCTCCAGTTTCTTTCTTCAAGGACTTGAAATTTTTATCATGCAAATCTTTCACTTGTTTGATTAGAGTTACTCGATACTTTATATTATGTGTGGCTATTATGAAGGGAGTCACTTCCCTGATTTCTTTCTCAGCTTGTATGTCATTTATATATAGAAGGGCTACTGATTGTTTTGAGTTAATCTTGTATGCAACCACTTCATTGGAAGTGTTTATTATTATTTTGGTTGTTTATGTATACTATCATATCATCTACAAATAATGACACTTTTTAATAAGGAATGGGTGAACCCACTGCCAGCTCCTAAGGTCAGTCTGTATGCAGTTAGAATTTAACTTACAACCTTATCAGTCTTAGAAATATCATGTTTTACTGCTCTTTGCAAAGATTCAAAGTCCTTATAAGAGCTCTTCCCTGCAAACCCTACCTGATCAGGTTCCTCCTTCACCTCAATGTCCTTAGCTTACATTCTTGCTAAATGTGCTTAGCCAGGGGAGCCTCCTGCTGGTCTGGTCCCACTGCCTCTCTTTGTCCAGGACTTTGTCTGCTTTGAATGTCTAACGTCTGCTGCTTCTCTGGACACACACACACACCCACTCTCGTTATTTAGGGTTGCCAGAGGAAGAGGGGAGGAGGGGAGGAGCCTTTCTCATTAAGTAACCCTTGCACAATCTCAACCTTTTCTTACTGTTTTGTTTCTGTTTCTAATTTCTGGTTGTGTCCATTAGTGATTATATATATATATATATATATATATATATATATATATATATATATATATCCTGGTTCCTTCTCTTACATACTAGCTTGTTTTCTCATCACTGTAACAAATGCCTGACTGTAACACTCAAGAGAAAGAAGGAAGGTTTGACTTTGGCTTTTGATTTGAATATGATCTGTCATGGCAAGGAGGGCATGGTATTGGGAATGTGAAGCAGATGGTAGCTTGACATATGTTGTCAAGATTGTAGAGAGGGAGGGGAATGCTGGTGGTCAGTCAGATTCCCCCACCCCCCTTTTTTTTTTAAACCCTCCCTTTTTATCCAGTCTAGGACCATGGGCCCTAGGATGGACCTACTGGCATTCAGTTAAATCTCTCGAGAAATACTCTCAGACATGCCCAAGGAGTGTCCCTAGGTGATGCCAGAGCTAGTTAAGTTGATAATGGGGATCATTATTGCAACTTCCTAGGAAGTACTTGGAAGCAGAATCCCTGTGAAAATGGCCACTGTCTAGAATACAATAACACGCAAAAGGCCTGTACGGATGAGCAAATGGACCCTGGATTGAGTCTCTTTCCCCCAGGCTGGTGAAAACATCTTTCCAGCCATCTGGTTTCACAAGAGCTTTTGATTTGCATTGTCATGTGGCAATGAGCTATGCTGTGCAATCCTATTTTCTTTCTTCCTCCCCTGCCCTCAACTTCCCCTTATTTTTGGTGCCAATTTCTGCCTTTGAATTGGAATAGTGAGTCCTACCTTGAACTATGCTGGAGTTTAACAAACCGCCACGTTGTCCTTTCCGGTTTAGAATTCAAGACAATATAAAAACTTTGGATTTGGATGTCTTTGGATCCCAACTCCAGTGCTCACACTCACAGACAAGTGTTTTAACCACTGAGTCATTTCCCCAGTCCTACTTTCTCCTTTTAAGGAACTTAGAAATAAATCCATTGGCAGATATTTAGAACATAAGACAGGTTGGACAGAAATGATTCCTGTAGACTGACGCCATAACAGGTGAGAGAGAGAGAGGGCTAGCTGTGGAAGAATTGGTATATTGGCATGCAGCTACATCTGCACTGGTCATGAGGAAGATGTGAGAGGTCTGAGCAAGATCTTTCTCCAGGGCCCAGGAAGAGCACGAAGTCGACAGGAAAGAGAAGTGGCGGAAAACGGGTATTGCATAGAATGCAAGCTGTAAACAGAAAGTTCTGGTACTCTGATTATCTAGCGCATGTTTCAGATCCCAGCTTCTCAACCACTACCCCAGTTGCCCTGAGAAACTGC